CTGTGGTGGTTTAAAGCCGTGCCCGTCAAGCCGTGTTGTCCCCTCTTGGCAGCTTCACTTGGTGGCCCTGAACACGCCGCTGAGCGGTGGCATGCGTGGCATCCGGGGGGCTGATTTCCAGTGCTTCCAGCAAGCCCGACAGGTCGGGCTGGCCGGCACCTTCCGCGCCTTCCTGTCCTCCCGCCTGCAGGACCTCTACAGCATCGTGCGCAGGGCTGACCGTGCCACCGTGCCCATCGTCAACCTCCGGGTACGTGTGTGCTCCTGTCCCCTTCCCAAAAATACCCCCTGTGAGCGCCCAAAAGCCCCCGTCCATCTACATGGCAGTGAGCATCCAGGTTGGACACAGGGGCGTGTAGCAACCTGCTCTAGTGGAAGGTGTCCCTGCCCGTGGCAGGGGTTGGAGCTGGAGGAGCTTTAAGGTCCTTTCAACCCAGACCCATCTGGGATTCTGTGAAGGCTGTGTGGGGAGCTCCTATGATGGTCTCGAGGTGCAGACAGGGCTGACACCCCTCTTCTCCCCTCTTTCTCCATGCCCCTACCAGGATGAAGTGCTCTTCACTAACTGGGAAGCCCTTTTCACGGGCAGCGGGGCTCCGCTGCGAGCCGGTTCCCGCATCCTCTCCTTCGACGGCCGGGATGTCCTGAGGGATGCAGGATGGTGAGTGCTGGATGGGGGAAAGAGGGGAGATGGGGTCTGGGCTGTGTGTGGGGCTGCAGCTCCCCACCTTCCTCCTTTCCAGGCCCCAGAAGAGTGTCTGGGATGGCTCAGATGTCAAGGGCCGGCGCTTGCCCGAGAGCTACTGCGAGACATGGAGGACAGAGGAGAACACAGCCACTGGCCAAGCTTCCTCCCTGGGCTCTGGCAAGTTACTGGAGCAGGAGGCCAGCAGCTGCCAACACACCTTCATTGTGCTCTGCATCGAGAACAGCTTCATGACCGCTGCCAAAAAGTGATACCCTCCTGTCCCCTGGGTACCCCGCATCTCCCCGGGGAAGGTTAGGCCAGCCCGGCACCCCCGTGGTCCTCAGGCCCTGCATGTACCTGCCCTTGCCCTGCAGGGTTTTCTCCTCCCACAGACCAAAGAGTATCATCATCATCATCATCATCATCACCCTGGGTTGGCAGGGGTTTGCATCCCACCCGGGGCAGGTGGTCAGGCTGCCTTCCTCCTCCTCCTCTGGCTCCACTTCTAACTCCTAATATTTAACCACTTCAGCTTGTGTCCCCCAACCTGATCAGATGGCCTTTTCAGGGGGATGTGGCGTGTCCTCCTGGAAAGCCTACAGGGGTTCTCTGACCATTCCCCCAGCCCCACAGTCCTCACCAGGAGCTTGGGGTTGGACCTAAGAAGAAGAATTCTTCTTCTCCCATACCTGATGCTGAGGCCATGAAGTATCTTCTCCAGCCAAAACCCCAGCATCCTACCCAAGCAAGGGACCATCCCATGGCAGTGCCACGGCTCCCCCTTTGATGGTCTCCATCCTACCAAGGCAAGGACCATCCCACCCAGCCCCCCATCATCATCCTCACCTCCACCTCCCAGCCAGCAGCTCGGGAGCCCTGCACGGGGGGACATCCCCTCCATGCACCCTACACCAGCACAGGAGGGACTGGGGCAATGGGGTGGCCCCGATGCAGGGCCAGGCATGTCCTTAGCGTGTGTTTACATGCATGTGTGTGTTGAGCACATGTGGTGCTGAGGGCAGGCACCACCATCGCCCTCCCCTTCCCCACATCAGCTTTGCTGCACGCTGAGGGCTGAGGTGCAGCAAAGCTGCTTTGAAGGGGGGTGGGCAAACCTAAGGTGCTAAAGAACAAAAAGAAAGACAAGATCCATTTGTAAGTAGCTTTTTTTTTGTTATTGTATGGGTATTCTTACCATAAAAGCTGTGTGAGTCACACGGTCTCTATTTCTTACAGTCTACTGTATTTTGTGTCATTAATGCAATTTAAAGCCTGTGGATTGGTTTGGTTGGTTTTTTTTTTGTGTCAGTTGTGTCCTATAAAGCATTTTCTAAAGGCACTGAATAAAGAAACGTTATCCTCTCATAGGCTGGCTCTGCACGATGATGGGGAGGTGATGGCCACGAGAACCCCTGCACCCCGTCCATGCATCCCTGTGTGGTCACAAGCGATGGCAGCCACGGGCATCCTGCCCCTGTTCTGGTTTTGTGTGTGGCCCTGGAGGGCACCACCGCCCTTCCGAAAACAGGTCCCAAGGGGACGTGTC